ATGGGGTTGGACTGGATGGCCTTTAGGCGTCTCTTCCAACTCCCCTATGATTCAGAAGCTGAATGGTCATCTGCCAGGAGGGCTTTAATGGTGTCTTCCTGCATTGTGGAATCAGTTTGGACTGGATGGACATCTGTCAGAAGTGCTTTGATGGTGTCTTCTTGCCTGGCAGAATGGGGTTGAGCTGGATGGCCTTCAGGGGTCTCTTCCAACTCTAGGATTCTATGATTCAGAAGCTGAATGAACATTAGTCAGGAGGGCTTTGATGTTGTCTTGGCAGAATGAAGTTGGACTGGATGTCCTTTCGGGGTCCGTCCAACTCTAGGATTCTATGATTCAGAAGCTGGATGGATATCTGTTGGGAGGGCTTTAATGGTGTCTTTTTGCGTGATCGAATGAGTTTGGACTGGATGGACATTTGTTGGGAGGGCTTTGATGGTGTCTGCCTCCCTGGCAGAGTGGCGTTGGATTGGATGGCCTTTAGGGTCTCTTCCAAATCTAGGATTCTATGGTTCAGAAGCTGGATGGTCATCTGTCAGGAGGGCTTTAATGGTGTCTTTTTGAGTGATGGAATGAGGTTGGACTGGATGGACATTTGTCGGGAGGGCTCTGATGGTGTCTTCCAGCCTGGCAGAATGGGGTTGGACTGGATGGCTTTCAGGGGACTCTTCCAACTTTACGATTCTACAATTCAGAGGCTGGATGGATATCTGTCGGGAGGGCTTTAATGGTGTCTTTTTGCATGGTGGTATGAGGTTGGACTGGATGAACATTTGTTGGGAGGGCTTTGAATGTGTCTTCCTGCCTGGCAGAATGGGGTTGGACTGGATGGCTTTTAGAATTCTCTAGGATTCTATAATTCAGAAACTGGATGGACATCTGTTGGGAGGGTCAATATAAAGCAAGCTCTCCAACTGAAGTCAAATCCCAAGCAACCAGGGGCTGCCCTTGGGCGAAGGGAGAGGGGGAGACTCTTCCTCGGACGAAGATTATTCCTCCCGGCAATTTTATCACAGCTTTATCCCGTTTTATCCCGAAGTTGGTTAGAGAACATTGTAATCTCCGCAAATCTCTTGTCCTCATATAGAAAGACATGGCTTTGAAAGGGGGGGGGGGGAGGAAAGGAGGGGGCCAAACCCTGTGGATTATATCACGAGCAAGCAAGGCCGAGGAGGGATTTGGGGGACTGGGAGTGCATCTACATGGTCGAATTCACACAGTTCGAAGCTAGATGGCCGTCTGTCAGCAGGGCTTTGATGGTGTCTTCTTGCCTGGCAGAAGAGAGTTTGGCTGAGTGACCCCCTTTAGGGGTCTCTTTCATGTCTAGGATACTATGGTTCCAAAGCTAGATGGCCATCTGTTGGGAGGGCTTTGATGGTGTCTTCCTGCCTGGCAGAATGGGGTTGGACTAGATGGCCTTGGAGTGTCTCTTCCAACTTTAGGATTCTATGATTCAGTAGCTGGATGGACATCTATTGGGAGGGCCTTGATGGTGTCTTCATACCTGGCAGAATGAGGTTGGACTGGATGGCTTTTAGGGGTCTCATCCAACTCTAGGATTCTATAGAGGCCAGATGGACATCTGTCAGGAGGGCTTTAATGGTGTCTTCCTGCAAGGTGGAATGCGTTTGGACTGGATGGACATTTGTCGGGAGGGCTTTGATGGTGTCTTCTTACCTGGCAGAACGTGGTTGGACTGGATGGCTTTTAGGGGTCTCATCCAACTCTAGGATTCTATGGAGACCAGATGGACATCTGCCATGAGGGCTTTAATGGTGTCTTCCTGCAAGGTGGAAAGAGTTTGGACTGGATGGACAATTGTTGGGAGGGCTTTGATGGTGTCTTCCTGCCTGGCAGAATGGGGTTGGACTGGATGGCCTTTAGGGGTCTCTTCCAACTTTAGGATTCTATGATTCAGTAGCTGGATGGACATCTTTTGGGAGGGCCTTGATGGTGTCTTCTTACCTAGCAGAATGAGGTTGGACTAGATGGCTTTTAGGGGTCTCTTCCAACTCTGGAATTCTATGGAGGCCAGATGGACATCTGTCAGGAGGGCTTTAAAGGTTTCTTCCTGCATGATGGAATGAGTTTGGACTGGATGGACATTTTTCAGGAGGGCTTTGATGGTGTCTTCCTGCCTGATGGAATGTGGTTGGACTAGATGGCCTTTGGGGGCTCATCCAACTCTAGGATCCTATGGAGGCCAGATGGACATCTGTCAGGAGGGCTTTAATGGTGTCTTCCTGCATAGTGGAATGAGTTTGGACCAGATGGACATCACTGCGTTCGGCAGCAAAAGACCTTGTAAAACTACAGCTCCCAGGGGTCCCATTGCTTCTTTCTTGTGGTTGCATAACAGAAACCAAAATTCCCAAATGCACCATAGAAGGGACACCAAATCCCATCATGAGGATTGGGATCGGGACCTTTGGGGCTTTCTATGATTTCAAACCAGAAGGCAGTCTGGGAGGCAACTGTCTTCCCTTTCAAAGGGCTGGACTAGATGACCTTTGAGGTACCCCTTTTCCCCATTGGATCCCAGCATTGTAACCTGATCACTCTTGTTTTTTCAAGGCACGGAGGGCTAGAAAGCAAATGGTTATTGAACTGTTTTCATTTTTATGGCATTGGATTGATATAGAAATACTACAACTCATTTAAATATTAACATTAATGCATTATAATAGTAATAATGCAATAATACTTTCTAGGCATTGAACGTTTGCCTTTGTGTTTTTGTATATTGGAATCCCTCGGGGGTATAGGGTGGAATACAAATAAAGCATTTTTAAAATTATTATTATTATTATTATTATTATTATTATTATTTTACCGACACAAAATCACAGTATGTCACAGCACACTGTGTGATGATGATGATGATGATGATTATTATTATATAATACATTAAATCCAAATGCACTGTGTTAATAGTAATAATGATAGTTTAAATGAAATATAAATATTATTATTATTATTATTATTATTATTATTTAATACGTTAAATAAAAATGCATTGTGTTAATAGTAATGATAGTTTAATGATAATAATAATAATAATAAATGAAGTATAAATATAACTTAATACTAATAGTAATAATAATTAACAATATGTTAAAATACAAATTCTTAGTGTTATTAGTAAGCACATAGTTTCACTATCTATGTACATATGGATATAATTTGAATATCCACATGCATAGGAGCACATGATATTATATATTATTATTATTATTATTAATAATAATATATTATAATATAACATATATTAATATAATTATTATATTATAATATAATATAATATATTATAACACACACATATAACTGTAATATATTCTATTATAACATATATAATATAATATAATAATATAATAATGATAATATAATAATACAATAATAATTGTTATAGGATATGATATTGTAATATATAGTAATAACACACAGATATGAATATATATTTATTATAAGTATTATAATATTATATATTATATATATTATATATATTACATATTTTACATTATATTATATATAATAATATATAATTATATTATAATATAATAGGTATTATAATATAATAATATGATTTTATAATAATATTATGAATCTCATTCCTAAAGGGGACTCAGAGCAGCTTACAAAATATATATACAATATATATATACATACAATATATTATATTAATAGTATACTACAATATCAGTATTAAATATTACTATATTGTATTATACTATTTAATTGTAATACTATTACTAATATAATGTATAAATATATAATTATATTATTAGTATTAGTATTATATTAATATAATGTAATATAATATAATATATAATATAATATAATAATATAATATAATATAATATAATATAATATAATATAATATAATATAATATAATAATATATATAATATAATAATATAATAATAATATAATATAATAATATAATATAATAATATTATTATAACATAATAATGTAATTTAATAAGTATTACTATATAAGAATATAATATTATTATATCATATATTAATATAATATTATAATATATTATAACATTATAAAACAAATGTATAAATATAATATATTGTATTATAACATATATAATATAATAATATATTACATATTATTAATAATATGTAATATTATTATTAATAATATGTAACATATGTAACATAATATGTAACATAATATGTAACATATTATTAATAATATGTAATATTATTAATAATATGTAATAATATATTACATATTATTACTATGGACTATGATTTTGGGATGATGTGCTTTGTAAATTGTTGTAATATCCCAAAATGGGAAGAATTGGGAGAGTCCATTATTATCATTATATTATTATTATTATTATTATTATTATTATTATTATTATTATTATTATTATTATTACAACCTGTTTACACCTCTTGATCGAGCCATAAAGTTTCCAACACCATTAAAAATTAGTACAAATTATACATATTACTATGGACTATGATTTCGGGATGATGTGCTTTGTAAATTGTAAATTGGGAAGAATTGGGAGATTCTATTATTATTATTATTATTATTATTATTATTATTATTATTATTACGACCTGTTTACATCTCTTGATTGAGCTGTAAAGTGTCTGACACCATTAAAAATTAGTACAAATTATAATCCACGTCCAAAAGAGACTTTCCTAGCCATTCATTGCTCCTTGTGGCTGGAAAAATATGTTTATTTTTACATATTTTTAATAGATGCTCGTTAAAAAACAATGCGATTGCAAATCCACAATGTACGAATCTGAAAATAGACTTTACCAGTCTATGCTCAATGTGCCTGGAAACAAAAATCCTTCAATATTCCAGATTTATTAGCATCTGTTTACTTTTTACAGAAGCCTTCCCAAAGGAATTTAGTTTCCCTTTGCCCAGCAATGTGAGCATAGGAGACTATATTCCTCTTAAGTGATGCTCCCACCTATATAGGGGACGTCTCAACAGGTGTATATAAGTAGTTCGCTTACCTGTCAGGAAGCCGAAAACGGTCAAGAGCAACAATCCGACGGTGCCGCTTGTCCCGGCCACTGGTTTCCTCTCCATCACCTTCTCCCCGGCTTCGGATGCTGCCTTGCTTTGGGGGTCTCAAAGAGGTCTCTCGTGGGTCGGGTGGGGACCCCGAAAGGGCATGTCATCCCGGCACAAAGGGGGTCCCCTTCTCGGCCACGTTATTCCCCCGCCAGCCTTAATTGGTACCCGTTAAGGGACCATAATTAAGACTTTGTGCCGTCAGCGGCTCCTACGCTCTGCAGAGAACGGGTGCTTGTGACAGCATATTGTGAGTGTGTGTGTGTATCTGTGTGTGTGTGTGTGTGTGTTTTTCAGCTCTGGGCGGGTGCGGATTACCAACAGATTTAATCGGACCGGGTGCACCGTGTACCCAGGCCTGATGTCTCGGCTCATCAGGAAATCCTTCGTCAGGGCAATTAAATGATGGCTTGCCCCAGAGAGAAGCGGAAAAAGGGGGCCCCGACATCATCAAAGCCCTCCCAACAGATGTCCATCAAGTTTCTGAATCCTAGAATCCTAGAGTTGGAAGAGACACTTAAGGGACATCCAGTCCAACCTCATTCCACCACGAAGGAAGACATCATCAAAGGCCTCCCGACAGATGTCCATCCAGCTTCTGAATCATAGAATCCTAGAGCTGGAAGAGACCCCCAAGGGTCATCCAGTCCAACCTCATTCCACCACAAAGCCTTCCCGACAGATGTCCATCTAACTTCTGAATCCTAGAATCCTAGAGCTGGAAGAGACCCCGAAGGGCCATCCAGTCCAACCTCATTCCACCATGAAGGTAGACATTATCAAAGCCCTCCCGACAGATGTCCATCCAGCTATCCTAGAATCCTAGAGTTGGAAGAGACCCCCAAGGGTCATCCAGTCCAACCTCACTCCACCATGAAGGAAGACATCATCAAAGCCCTCCCGACAGATGTCCATCCAGCTTCTGAATCCTAGAATCCTAGAATTGGAAGAAACCCCCAAGGGTCATCCAGTCCAACCTCATTCCACCATGAAGGAAGACACCATTAAAGCCCTCCTGACAGATGTCCATCTGGCCTCCATAGAATCCTAGAGTTGGATGGGACCCCTAAAAGCCATCCAGTCCAACCTCATTCCACCACGAAGAAAGACATCATCAAAGCCCTCCCGACAGATGTCCATCCAGCTTCTGAATAATAGAATCCTAGAGTTGGAAGAGACCCCCAAGGGCCATCCAGTTCAACCTCATTCCACCACGAAGGAAGACACAATCAAAGCCCTCCCGACAGATGTCCATCCAGCTTCTGAATCCTAGAATCCTGGAGTTGGAAGAGACACCCAAGCGTCATCCAGTCCAACCTCATTCCATCACGAAGGAAGACATCAAAAAGCCCTCCCGACAGATGTCCATCCAGCTTCTGAATCATAGAATCCTAGAATCCTGGAGTTGGAAGAGACCCCCAGGGGCCATCCAGTCCAGCCCCATTCTGCCATGCAGGGAGACACAATCAAAGCCCTCTCAATAGATGTCCTCCCTGTGTTGTCACAGGCTTTCATGGCTTGCTGTGAGTTTTTTGAGCTGTATGGCCATGTTCCAAAACATTTTCTCCTGATGTTTCACCTGCATCTGTGGCTGGCGTCTTAAGAAGTTCAGGCGAAATGTCCAGAGAGAATGCTACTGGAACATGGCCACACAGCCTGGATAATTCACACCACCCAGATGGCCATCCTGCCTCTGGATCATAGAATCATAGAGTTAGAAGAGATCCCAAAGGCAAATCCAAGACACACGCCAAGCTCTCCCGACAGATGGCCATCCTGTGTTGTCGAAGGCTTTCATACCCAGAACCACTGGGTTGGTGTCAATTTTTCGGGCTGTATGGTTATGTTCCAGTAGCATTTTCTCCTGATGTTTTGCCTGCATCTGTGACTGGCATCTTCAGAGGTTCAGGCGAAACGTCAGGAGAAAATGCTACTGGAACATAGCCATACAGCCTGAAAAATTGACACCAACCCAGTGATTCCAGGTATAAAAGCCTTCGACAACACAGGATGGCCATCTGTCGGGAGGGCTTGGATTGTGTCTTGCTGCATGGCAGGCACAATCTATGTTCCAGTAGCATTTTCTCCTGATGTTTTGCCTTGCATCTGTGACTGGCATCTTCAGAGGATCAGGCGAAACGTCAGGAGAGAATGCTACTGGAATGTAGCCATGCAGCTTGAAAAATTTACACCAACCCAGTGATTCCAGGTATGAAAGCCTTCGACAACACAGCATGGCCATCTGTCGGGAGGGCTTGGATTATGACTTGCTGCATGGCAGACACAATCTATATTCCAGTAGCATTTTCTCCTGATGTTTTGCCTGCACCTGTGACTGGCATCTTCAGAATGCCATACAGCTCGAAGGTTCATGTGGCAAGCACGATTGCATGGAGCACCGTTACCTTCCTGCTAGAGCGGTACCTATTGATCTACTCACATTTGCATGCTAGGTTGGCAGAAGCTGGGGCTAACAGTGGGAGCTCACCCTCCTCCCCAGACCTTTCAGTTAGCAAGTTCAGCAGCTCAGCGGTTTAACCCGCTGCGCCACCAGGAGCGCCTTCGTTGTGATGCTCATTGGCCATATATATCCTGTGAAGTATTATAGGGAGAGGAGCCTCAGTTTCCCCAACGTAGATGCTGTTTCGCCCAGTTCTCTTTTCCTCCAAACACTCTCCTTCCTCACAAATATATTTGGCAGTGGCCGATGGATGAGAAGGAGGGGAAGTGTTGCCGAAAAGTGTGAAAGCAGCTTCTATTTTCGTATGAGACGGAGAGGAGTAATTGGCTTTGGATGGGGCGGAGGAAGAGAGCGATGGAACAGAAGGGGTGGCTGGAGTTTCAGAAAAGCAAGCACACAAATAAACATAAAGACACATTGCGATGGGGAGGGCCGCTGGATTCGGCTTTGCCCTGGAGAGAAGAAAAAGATGATTCATGACGATGTGACCTTTTTAAAATGTGTGTTTATGAGCAGAGGACGGGGCGGGAGGAAGAAAATATCGGGGACGAAAAAATATTATTAGTACTATTATCGCTATTATTATTAATAATAATCATGAAGTTGAACATGCCCCCCCATAAGAGGTAGGACAAGGAAATAATAATAATAATAATAATAATAATAATAATAATAATAATAATAATAATAATAATAATAACAATAACAATACTTTATTTATACCCCGCCCCAAGGAACTTGGAGCGGCTTACACGAGGCCAAGCCCGACAACACATCAATAAAACAGAAAAGCAATAAACAAAAAAAATACACAATACAATTAATATTTATTTATTTATTTATCATGTCAGGGGCAACCAGACAATTGTATTACATTTCTAACAGAACAAAACAAACAGCCAAAAAAAAAAAACCCCCACAAAATTTGCAAGCTTGGTAGTTGATTAAATGTCCTTTGACCAGTATCTGGCTAGTTGGAGTGTCTCTGGTCAATTTGCAAAGACACGAACAACAACAACAGGGACCCTTCCCATGTCAGGTAGTGTGTACATTTAATCAAGGTTTTATGCCCTAAATTTCATATATAGCAGAAGGTAACAAATTTATTACTGAAAAACCATGCCATAAAAGTCATTTGACTTTTTCCATCTGAGACACAACTAGGCTAGAGAATTAACGGCTCTCCAATTGGTTTCCCATCTCAGTCAACGATTCACAAACAAAAAACATGACTCCACGGTGTTGAACAACTTCAGACTGATCTCCAACCTCCCTTTCTTGGGCAAGGTGCTGGAGCGGGTGGTCGCCTCCCAGCTCCAGGAATTTCTGGATGACATCAATTACCTAGATCAGTCATAGTCTGGTTTCAGGCCTGGTCACGGCACTGAGACGACCTTGGTCACCTTGGTGGATGACCTCTGTAGAGAGCTGGACAGGGGGAGTGTGACTCTGTTGGTTTTCTTGGACATCTCAGCGGCTTTAGATACCACCGACCATGGTATCCTTCTGGGGCAACTCTCTGGGATGGGTCTCGGGGGCACGGTTCTGTCGTGGCTCCAGTCCTTCCTGGAGGATCGATCCCAGATGGTGAAGCTGGGAGATGCCTGCTCGGACCCCTGGCCTTTGACCTGTGGGGTCCCTCAAGGCTCTATTCTGTCTCCCATGCTTTTTAACATCTACATGAAACCGCTGGGAGAGGTCATCCGGAGTTTTGGAGTTGGGTGCCATCTCTACGCAGATGACACATAACTCTACTACTCTTTTCCACCTAACTCCAAGGAGGCCCCTCGAGTGCTGGATGAGTGCCTGGCTGCGGTGGCTATCTGGATGAGGAAGAACAAGCTGCAGATCAATCCTGACAAGACAGAGGTCCTCCTGGTCAATCGTAAACCTGACTGGGGTATAGGGTGGCAACCTGTGCTGGACGGGGTTACACTCCCCCTGAAGCCACAGATCCGCAGTCTGGGAGTCCTCTTGGATTCATCATTTATGCTTGAGGCTCAGGCGTGAGCAGTGTCCGGGAGGGCTTTTGCACAACTGAGACTTGTGAGCCAGCTGCGACCGTACCTCGCAAAGGTTGGTTTGGCTGGGGTGGTCCATGCCTTGGTCACCTCTAGACTGGATTACTGTAACGCGCTCTACGTGGGGCTGCCCTTGAAAACGGCTCGGAAATTCCAACTGGTCTGACGGGCAGCGGCCAGGATGTTAACTGGGGCTCCTTACAGGGAGAGGTCAACCCTCCTGTTTAAGGAGCTCCATTGGCTGCCGTTCACCTTCCGATCCCAATTCAAGGTGCAGGTGCTTACCTACAAAGCCCTAAACGGTTTGGGACCTGCCTACCTGCATGACCGCATCTCTGTCTATGAACCCACATGCTCCCTTCGTTCATCCGGAGAGGCCCTGCTCGTGATCCCGCCTGCGTTGCAGGCGCGTTTGGTGGGGACGAGGGACAGGGCCTTTTCTGTGGTTGCCCCCCGACTTTGGAACACCCTCCCCAAAGACATCAGACTAGCACCCACGTTGGCTGTCTTTAGGAAGAGCTTGAAGACCTGGCTATTCCGATGTGCCTTTCCGGAATAGGAAATGTCCCAGAAGCACTTTATTAGGGTTTAAGACTTTCTGCACATTGCACTTGCCCAGGAATCCAACATGCCACCTGTCACACCCAGCACTTTTTAATCTGTACCCATCACTTGGCCCGGCCCTGGTTTTTACTGTGCTATGCTGTAATGTTGTTGTTATTGCTTTATGGTTTTTTTTATTTGCTTTGAATTGTATTGTTGTTGTTATGCTGTTGTTGTTGAGGCCTTGGCCTGTGTAAGCCGCATCGAGTCCTTCGGGAGATGCTAGCGGGGTACAAATAAAGTTTAATAAATAATAATAATAATAATAATAATAATAATAATAATAATAATAATAA